GGGCGGGCACGGGGGCACGGGGGGGCCCGGGCGGGACAGCGGGGCAGGCTACTTCGGGGCCGTGTGTCTGGCCAGCCACAGGGCCAGCTCCGGCCCCACCCTTCGGAGAGCCAGGCGTGCGACCTCCACTCTCTGCGAGGCGGGTCTCCATCCGCACCCTGACATAGGGTCCCTTCCCGGAGATCGCAGGCTCCCACAGTCCACTTACTGTGAAGGCTCTTTCTGCTGCCTTCCTCCGGGCTGGGGCAGCCTTCGTTCTTCCTCCGAGGCTAGCCGGGCGCTGGGCAACTAGAGCGCGCTGAACTGATGGTGGTTCTTAGCAGATCTTTCCCTGAGGACATCACCCTTCTTCCTCCGCGTCAAACCCCGTCCTGCTCTAGACATAAGTCCTGCTCTTCAGACAAAACAGAATTTTACCCCATGGCCTGTTGCTCGGAAATTAAACTCTTGCCTCCTTAAAATCACAACCGCTTCTCAGAAACGAGTTCCTGAAAATCCTAGGCCTGGAAGGAAGGAAGTTTCCCTCAACCCTCGCCCCTTGGAGCCTGTGCTCCCTTAACCGAGTCAAGAGGACGACCTCTTTCGAAGTTGCAGCTTTATGGTAGTATGATCGCCAAGAAAAAATGATCCCCGCTCCCGCCCTCGTTACCATTACTTTGCCCACACACCTACATTTTATTTGGAGATGTCAGAACAAACCCCCAGCTACCTCAATTTATTTGACAAAACTTAGGTACCACTCACTGTGTATATCGCAAGATACTATTAAGCAATTTACAAATGTAACTTACAAATCGCAAGACAATCCTATTAGGTAGGTATTGTTACTACCTTCACTTTACAGATGAGGCAGAGAGGTTAAGTGATTTGCCCAAGGTCACTGAGAAAATAGAATGGGGAAGTTGAGATTCTTACTCAGGCAGTGTCATCCAGAGTCTGCATTCTTAACCTCTCTTGTTTTGCTTCAGTTGGGGGATTATCATCTACCTGTACTTTCTGTTAATTGTTTACCAAGCCCAATTTCAAACTACCTTTCCCATTCCCCTCAGTTTACCAGTGCCCTAGAACTAACTCATCTACACTCTTCCGGTGGTACCTTCTGATCTCCAGGTAGCCAGAAGATAATTGTCTTACTGGTCTTGTACAGTCTTGGATCACTGCTCTTCCCTCCAAAAAAGAGTTTTTACTCATTGCTTGTTTTTTCATGGGGCGAGTTGCTTCATGAAAGTGTTTGAAGGGGGTGACAGAGTGGAGACTTTACTCTTCACCTCCACTGGCACAGCTTTTTTTTCTAAGGCACACTCTTCGCACAGTTCTCCAAGTGCCATCCCTGAACATAACCATCTTAGTGGTTTGCCTTTGGTTCCTTAATGCATCATGATCGTGACCATTAGGCTCCTCTGTTTATCCATTTTCTTGAGTTCTTGAAGGTGAATGATCAATCCTCATTTCATTATCTTTTATTTAAACTAAGTCTACTTACTAGTATTATAAGTTCATTATTAATGGTTACTAATAGTTGGTTTTCCTAAAACAAAATGTTATTAAAGTTACTGAGGCTGCTGTTTCAGTATTCTAAGAAATTTGGCTGCTGAGCTGTATGCGGTTGGCAGCCAAACAATGCTCCCACTAGAGCAGTTGGGATTACCAGAGTTTTTAGGAAGGATTCTTTCTCAGAACACCATCAATGTTGTTAAGTGTTGGTTGTGGTTTTCAATTGCTGTAGTTCTTAGTTATAAGATAAATTTAGTGTTATCAACTTAGTTTGTTGTGATTTATTATGTTAACCCTCCACGGAATAGTAATGCATATTTGTATCAGCTGAATTTTGCCCTATAATTTTCTAGTATCTTGGCTTAAGAATATGTGCATTAAGATTCAAATATAAGTTAGCTGTTCTTCCTGAAATTTGCTTCATTGTTATCACTGAGTTCTTTTCCCACTGGAAAGTAGGGTTTTGTGGTGATAGATGGATTAAGGGATCGTTTGCCGTAAGTGAACGTGGTTAAAAAAAGAAAAGGTTTGAGAACCTCTGTACTATCCTGTCAGTTTTAATTGCTTTTCCTGACTCCCTTACTCATTATTAGGGTTTTTTCATTTTTGGCCTCATCCTGTCTTTGGCAGATTAGACCCAAGATTCAGTCACTTGAACATACTGTAATACATGTAGTACCCACTGTCTTTATCTTTACCTTGTCCCTGCCCATATTCATAGGGGATGATCTCACCTTTTTTCTTATCCCATGCGGAGATAACAGCTTGTACAGATTTGATGTTTTTAGATCCCATGCTTTACCCTGGATGCACCCCTATTCTCATTATATCCTGTTTTTCCACCACAATACGATAATTATTCAGGTTTGTTTAAGGCAGTAGGCTCTCTTCTCTAAGTTTATCCTCAACTGTAAATCCCAGACGACTCCTGTCTCTTCATCGTCTATCCTATTTCTTCCATGTTTTGAGGTAGCATTTTAAGGCACCAGATTCTTAGCTGTTCAAGAGTTAGGTTTTGTAACTGAAAAGGAATGGAAGAACGGAGAACAGACAATAACAGTAAACTGATAGCAGATATAAGATTAATATACTCACCCCTAAAATTCCTGCTCTTCACAAAATTCCCCTTAGCTACTTTACCTAACCAGACTCTTTCCATTGCCAGCTATCATGAATCATTACTTGCTTTCTTTTCCTGGTACATAAATTATTCTTCCAGTCTTATTCCGTTTTGTTTGAGGAGCCACAGTGGCTTGACTTTTTCATTATATATCTATCCTTATTTTAATCTTGAACAGTACATGCAATGTTTGTAGATTCCCACATATCATAAGGAGTGCCTCTCTTTTTTCATTGTAATTCTGAAAGGCCTGAGCATATCATGCATATAGAGCTTGTTGCCTAGCAAATTCTTTTGGGAAAGCAGCCATCTCTTTCTTCTCTGTCTTCATCTTACAAATTATTTTGTTAGCTGGACGTCCTGATTTTACAGATGAGGAAAGAGATATTATGGCTTGTCTTGCTTTTTTTTCTTCCCCACCTACCCTGGCCTGTCTTGTTTTTAAAATAATATTCATTCCAGCTTTGTAGTACTAATGCTAAAATATCGATTGCAAATCACTCATGCACAGTGTTCCATATTTTCATTTTTTCAAATCTCATCTCTATATCTCTAGTTTTCTTTCATATCACTTATTCAGTAGATCATTTCCTCAAGTTGCTCTCTGGGTACTAGCAATTGACATTCATTCTTAATTTCTGTTTCAGATTTTGTTTTTAAACTTTTTAAATTATTGAGGTAACATTGATTAATAACATTATATAAATTTCAGGTGTACAACATTATAATTTGTTATCTGTATACTCTTGTGTGCTCACCACCCAAAGTTAGTTTCCTTCCATTATCACATGTGAAATACATTATCTTAAAAAAAAAAAATAGTTTTATTGAGATATAATTCATATACCATATAGTTCACTGATTTAAAATGTACTATTCAGTGGTTTTTAGTATAGTCAGGGTTGTGAGGCAGTCACTACGGTCTAATTTTAGAACATTCTGAAAAGACACCCCATACCTATTAGTAATCACTCTTCATTTTGTCCCCCCTTTTCCCCAGGCAATCATTACTTTCTATATGGGTTTGTGTATTCTGCACATTTCATGGAAATAAAATTATACGATATGTTTCTTTGTGACTAAGCATAATGTTTTCAAGGTTCATTCATGAGATAGTTTATATCCGTACTTCATTTTTTTTTATTGCTGAATAGTATTTGTATGGATATGTCACATTTTATTCATCAGTTGATGGACATTTGGGTTGTTTCCATTTTGGGGCTCTTATGAACAATGCTTCTATGAACATTTGTGTACTAGTTTTTTTGTGGACACATGTTTTCATTTCTCTTGCATGTATACCTAGGAGTTGAATTCTAGGTCATATGGTAACTATGTTTAACATTTCGAGAAACTGCCAAACTATTTTTCAAAATGTCTGTACCATTTTACATTCCATTGAGCAATGTATGAGGTTCTAGTTTCTCCATGTCCTTGTCTGCATTTGTTACTATCTTTTTTATTTTAGCCATTCTAAGTATGAAGTTGCATTTCACTGTAGCTTTGATATGCATTTTCCTAATGGCTAATCTTTTCATGTGCTTATTGGTTATTTACCTTTGAAGTAATGTCTGTTCAGATCCTTTGTTCAGTTTTTGTTTGGATTTTTTGTCTTTTTATTTTTGAGTTGTAAGCGTTCTTATATGTCCTGGATATAAGTCTCATCAGCTATATGATTTGTAAATACTTTCTTCCATTGTGTGAGTTGTCTTTTTTCTTTCGTGATGGTATCATTTGCTGCACAAAAGTTTTTCTTAATTTTGTTGTGATTCAGTTTATCTATTTTTAGTTTTTTTTTCTTGTGCTTTTGGTGTATCTACGAAGCCTTTGCTTAATGATAACGAAGGTTTGCTTCTTTTTTCTAAGAGTTTTATAGTTTTAACTCTTACATTAAGGTCTGTGATCCATTTTGAGTTACTTTATCTAGTGTAAGGAAAGGTATTCATTTTCATTCTTTTTCATGATAGTATCTGGTTGTTGGAGCATCATTTGTTGAGTGCCATCTTTTCTTACCCAGATATATTCCTAGGTGATTTATCTTTTTACCGTGAAATTTATATTCCTTCTTTGTGGTAGAAACGTAATATTTAAGACCCTATCGTTATGTTTA